GAAGGTCAGGGATAGGTTTTGTCATTCAGTTTTTCTGAAGTCATACATTGTTCAAATTGTAGAAATTATTTCAGGAGCGTAGAGGGTATCTTCATATTCGCAGAGCGAAGAACAGCTCTGTTAGTAAGGCATGTTGTGTTTTTATAACTTGGATCATCATCATCTTTTATGGCTCTAGATGAAGCCTATGTAGACTGTAACGTCCCCACTTGACCATGCGTTTTGCATAGTTAATCCTCTTTGTGGAGCCAGTAAAACTAGCAGACACGCAAATTGAGATGTTGACTATCTTGGGTCCTTTGATATTTTGTGTCTGACTTTGTGCTTTTGTTGATTCTAGATATCGAATTATTTACAGTATGCTGTACTAAAAATGTTATTTCAAGAATTCGGACCTTCTTGGAAAGTTCAAAATCCAGTTAGAAAATAAAATAACCATGCTCACAGATGTGCTGGACCCAATCATGATACACTGCATAAATTGTGAAAGTTCTGATTTGATTTCTAATATCGCTTTGTGCTTTTGACTTTTTTTCCTTTGATGCACAGGTCAAGCTTCCAGGACAGTTATAGTGTCCAGGACAGTGATCCATATCGCTTGCATGTAAGATCAAAGGGCATTACGTTGAATTTGGTGAAATGAAGTCCACAAAGATTTTATGTCACACACATGTTTAGTTTTTTTGCTTGTGTGTTAAAAACCTTTTGAATAGATTGGGTCATGCTTTCTCTTGTTTCTCTTATGTTGCTGTCTGGTTCTTGCCAAATCGATTCGGTGTTCAGTAAAATAATTAAACAGTACCCAAGCACCCTCATCTCTTACTTCTGAGAAGTGCATTTTACATTTCCAAAAGCACGGCCTTTCCGTTTAGTACTAGCTAGTGCTTCTGTGAACCACTAGGCTTGATTTTCAGAATTGTGAAAGGGCAGATAGCTTTGGAAAAGGTTATGAAGCTGCCTCTTCAAAGCCCAGTGCCGGTAACCAGCACCACAGTGACAGACTAGTTAATAGTTACCCGAGTGGCTATTTTATATGCAGTACTACAGTACAGTTCTACATCTTTAATCGTTCCTCAGTAAATTGTTACCTTGCTAGTTCATCTGGGACTGTAGTTCTGTATTTGCCTCTGTTTCCAGTTGTACAGCATTAGCTAAGCTATTGTTTTTCAGTTTAATACATTTGTGCATCAGCAGACTGCTCTTGCTTTGCTATTTTTTTTGTTTTAGGTAGT